GTCCCTACCATCCATCCTAGCCCTCACAACCTCTGTTATCCTTCTCATCACTCCTAAAATAATCTACTCACCCAGAAAATGCTTCTGTCATCAAAATACTTAATTTGATTCTCTGAGAACAAGGGCAAAAAGCCTATATAATAATTAACTAAACAGTGCTAGAGCACTAATTAAGTAGTGCTAGAGCATCAACCCAGGCATTGTCTTGCTATTGTCTATACAGGTAGATGTTACTGGTAGCATAGCACTGGTTTGCACCAGCCCGTGCTCCCCATAGCAACTCTTAGACATGGTTTGGAAAGTTAGTATGGATGAGAGATCATGCTCCATAGGCAGCATGGTTGAGACCTCTCTCTCTAGAGTATAAAAGAGTTTTGTCACATGGACACAAACAAGGCAACTTGAGTTGGCTTTGTGATATGAAAGATGGTCCATTTGATTTACTGGTAGAGTCTTGGAGCACAGAAATTAATTTTCGCCTACAACTGTGAGAAACCCTGAGGTGGCTCTAGTTTGAGATGGTCCTTCGGAGAAGAAGAGTCCTGGACTCTGATTCCAGGATGGTGCATGTTCTGAAAAAAATTTTATAGCCCCTGGAGGGTTATGGGCCTTTGAGATTTAGCAGTAGGTGAGATGTTGTGTTTTGGATGGAAGTTCTAGACATGGGCATCTCAAGCCCAGCTTTGGAGCTCCATGGTAATGCTGTGATACCAAAAACTAATCAACCTTCTCATTGCCATTAATGCCAATTTCCATGTTTTTTCATTTCCTTCCCTTACAGTTAAAGTCTTATCTCCTAAATTCAATTTTTTTCACCCTGGCAAGTGCTTGTACATGGAACAGCTCAAACTCCCCTCTCTCCATTTACATACATCCTGTAGGTTTACCTCTTCCACAAACTATATATGTAGAGCCCAGAGCAAAACACAGACAGTCCCTCAAGAGCTCTACGCTAAAACAATGTCTGAAGTGGAGGAATTCTGAAAACAGCTGTAATTCATCATCTTCAGAGTAATTTATTTCTCCTTTGGGCATTACAACACAGCTCAACATCAAAGCCACTCAGCTGCAAAATGAGTATGATACCATGTGCATTGCTGTAGAGTACAGCTTATGGACAAACAATTACTCAAGCTAAATGGCATGATGTCCAAAAGAAGAATAAAAAAACAACAATGTTCTTCAACAAAATTGTATGTAAGGAACACATAAAGGCTTTGCAAAATAAATTAGCAATAGAAAATGAGTGATATTACCAGGTCTAACAAGGATGATGAATGTAGTGAAAGTGAGTGAAGAGACTGTTTGGCTAGGAGGCCGTTTTCTGACCTCCTAGCCAAAAATAACTGGAAGCTAAAAATGATCTATGATGTAAGGGGGAAAAAGTGTTCAATGACTTAAAGAAGGTCTCAGTGCTGAAATACCACACTGAACTTTTTATGGCTCTCAGTAAAATAAAAAGGATTTGTTAAAGAGGGCTGTTGGGGTGATATGGGAAAGATCCTGGTCCTACCGTATCCATTCCATGGACAGTGGATCTCATTAGCATACCTGGGTGGATGACCCTTGCTACCTTCTCCAGTTCATCTCCTTACCTCTTCCTTTTTTGCTTGACAGCTGGTGTCTGGCTGCAGTTCAAATTCAAGGTGAGCTTTACTTCCCAGCCATTGATGGCCTGTGTGTCCCGAGGGCATTTCCCCTGATCATGGAAACAGGTCTCTTGAGTTTTCACCAGCTACAGGCATTTCTTGTTTTCTTCCTCACTGGACGTGTAAAGCAGGGCTGTATTTTACATTTAACCAAAAACCTTATGCATCTGCTATATTCCCGGATAGAAGCCTTAAGCCATTAAAGGGATCTAAATCATGATGCTCCACAAGTATAAAATGGTTAGGGGACTGCAGTTAATGGGGATATAAAAAAGCAAAGCATACTTCCCCCTAGAAGAAAGTTATCCATTACAAAGGCTTCTACATTTTCTCCTGAAGTGCTACACCAAGGCCACTGCCAAAGATGGGATGCAGGTCTTGGCAATATCACCTGGTGCCTCCCCTACTTACTGCCTGTCCCAAGCTGCTGGAAAGAGCTTGACAGAAAAGGACCTGGGGGCTCTGGTGGACACCAAGTCGAACATGAGCCAGCAATGGGCCCTTGCCACAAAGGCAGCAGATGGTATCCTGGGCTGCATAAGGATGACCTGCATGACCAGCAGATCAAGGGAGGTCATCCTTCCCTGCTGCTCAGCGCTGGTGGGGCCACACCTGGAGTACTGGGTCCAGTTCTGGGCTCCCCAGTACCAGACAGACATGTCCATACTGGAAAGAGTCCAACAAAGGGCCACAAAGGTGATTAAGGGACTAGAGCACCTCTGCCATGAGGAAAGGCTGGGAGAGCTGGGACTGATCAGCCTGGAGAAGAAAAGGGTCAGGGAGGATCTCATCAATGTGCATAGACACCTGAAGGGAGGGTGCAGAGGGGATGGAGCCAGGCTCTTTCCAGTGGAGCCCAGTGACAGGACCAGAGGCCATGGGCACAGACTGAAACACAGGAGGTTCCCTCTGAACGACAGGAAACACCCTTCTACTGTGAGGGTGACCGAGCACTCTCCTTCCTTGGAGACTCTCAAAAGCCATCTAGATATGGTCCTGGGCAACCCAGCTCTCAATGGCCCCGTTTGAGCACAGGAGTTGGACCAGATGACCTCCAGATCTCCTACCTCAGCCATTCTGTGATTATGGGACCTTTTCTATTCCTCAGAGATAGCCCTGGTCTCTTCCAGCTGCAGCATCCCGCTTGGCCATAGTCCAGCTCCCTGCCTCCCTTCCTGCCACTGACAGCCAGCATTTTGGGGCAGGCAGAGGTAAACTCATTCAGCAGGGAGGAGGGAGCAGAAAAGGATACTGAAAAAGGATCAGTGTGTCCAGCCAAGGTCAGTTTAACATGTCCGGCCAAGGTTGAACCCCCCTCAGTGGTTACGCTTCTCCTTATTCGCTATTGCTCTTTTGACGTCGTTGACAAGAAGCAGTTCATGTTACACGGAGCAGCAGGCAGCTGGGCTGACAGATAATTTCTTACAAGGGAATCAACATGTGCATCAACAATTGCTAGTCTGAAGTGTTGGCTTCTTGAGCCTGGGTTTGCACTGTTTTGTCTTTGACTTGATCTGAGAGCACTCCAAATTTATCAGGTTTTTTTATGCTTCATGGCTCTGTGGGAACTAAGCACTGTGGAGGTGTTTGTGTAACCTTGGACTCTACCTTGAACAGGTTGCTGCTCCTCCTTTTTTTCCACATAGAGAACATTTTTCATCGGTTTAATGAGTTATGAGTATAGATAAATTGTATTAACCACAAATTTAGACACAGCTGCTTATCAGATATTTTCATATAAAAAGAATTTTTTCTTGGAAAAATGCTACCACTTCATTAAAGATGTTTCAGTTTCTGGTTCTTCTTAGTTGTCCGGGTAAGTTGCAACTGAAGTATTTGAGCTGGGAAAGGGTGAACCTCTCAACCTCTAAGTGGTGCAGATTAGAGCATACCAATTTTTTCTCTGCAGTTTTGCTAAGGCAAAACCTAACGTGGACACAGTTATGGAAGGGTTTTCTCTGTGCGGGAACAAGATCTCCATGAGAAAGAACTGGTGGTGCTCTGAGGGAGGGGAGCGGAAACCTGCACCCTGAAGGAAAGGGGATTTACGTCGGTGCGCAACCACCTGGCAGCCGGGGTGGGATTGTAGGGAGCACGGGAAACTAGTCAATAAATAGAAAAGTTTTGCATCTTGAAGCCTGTTTACGGTATTTTTCAACTATGGGGGCTTTAAAGACAGCCTCCAGGGTGGAGAGCGGTCACGGTGTCACCACGCGCAAGTCCCGGTCACTCGAGCTGTCAGACTTGCTGAGCTGGCTGCCCTGCGCGGCACGAGTTTGGCGCTGGCAGTGACCCGCGATGACCGATGCTCTTTAGGAACCCACATGACGAACCGCACTCCTTTTTCTGTGTGGTTAGGGGCAATCTCTGGAAGCCCCCTCAGGGATGCTCTCCCGAAAGATGTCCTGACGGGGCGAGTAATTGGAGGCCATGAGGCCCAGCCAAACAGCTGGAAGTGGCAGGTAGTGCTGGTGTCTTACACTTGAAAAAAGCTTTATACCTGAAAAACCAGTGAGAAAACGGCAGCTTCCGCTGTCCAAAGCCACGCACCCCGTTTCTGCAGAGGCATGGCATGGCTTGGGTGTAAAATATGTTATCATTTGATCCAGGTGTAGCTTCAGATTGCCTACGCTCACGCCCCGGGGTACTGCTGCCACTCCTGCGGTGGAACCTGCGGATGGGTCATGCCCGCAGCTCATTGCCTCAGCCTGTGAGGAGGGTAAGAAGAGTTAGAACTCGTGCTCTGCTCGTCGTTCTTGCTGCAGGCGGGAGCCGGACCCTTCCCACCCTCGAGCTCCCCGGCGGTGCCGTTCCTTGCGCAGCTGGGCGTCTCGCCGCGCGCTTCATCAAGGGAACCGCAAAACTCTGTTTGCTTTAGCCTTGATTTTACACGTTAATCGCCGACTTCCTGGAAGTGGAAATCAAGCTGATTGCCGACTGGCATAAAAGGAGGTACATTTGCATGAATGCGAGCATTTTGGGTGGGTTTGCGTCCCGAGAAACCTGCACAGAGGGGGAAAGGTTGAAGGAAATGCGTGTCTTGTAGCTCACGGGCCATGTTGTACAATTTGCTCTGCGGCGTGTCTAACGCACCGCCTGAACGGTACGGCACGACACCAACCAGCAAACACCCTTGGTTACTCACGCCTTTAGTGAATGTACTTGCGATAAAGCGTAACAAGCTGGTCCTTCTCACCCTGTTTCAGATAGATGCAGACACTCAAAGTGAACGTTCTCGTTCCAGACCGAGCTCAGCCCTGTATTACCTGATGCTGCACCTCCACTTGCTTTGCAGCAAACTGCAGGCAGCATTTGCCTAATTCGTAAGACCATTTAGCTACAGTCCATTGAAAATCCTCCGGTGGAAGGTGCTTTAGAAATCACTACACTGGTGGAAGGTCTCAGCGGTGCGGGAGTTACAGTGCAAAGCTAGCGGTGGGAAGTAGTTTTCGCATTCATTATTCTGTGATTTGTTTTCAGGCCACCAGGAGCAACCTACCGAGTGGCTCCGGGTGAGCACGATCTCTTGGAGGTGGATGGCACCAAGTCCTATATTGGTGTGGACAGAGTCTTCATTCGTGATGGCTGGAATCCCTACGGCGTTGCCAATGGGTAATTATTTTGAATATTGTCAGGTAGCTGAATGCTACTTAGCACCCTGTCCCGCTAGTGTTTATGAGCACATTCAGTCCAGTTCCAAGTGAGGCTGGATTTGTGGGAAGCACTGGAAGATCATGCAATGGAGATTTCCCAAATGACCTCCTCTCTTGGGGGTGTTACACGGTCTATAACCTCGATATGACCTGGATAACCTCGGTCCTGTTTAGCCCAAGATGGGGAAAAGCCAGAGCCTCACAGGGGGGCCCAGGATGCGTGGCAGATTCAGGGGCTGACAGCAGTCACACCACTGTCCGTATCTGATGAAGGGAAGCTAACGGGAAATGCCGAGGGTCACAGAATCACAGAATCACAGAATCACTAGGTTGGAAAAGACCTTCAAGATCATCAAGTCCAACCATTAATCCAGCGCCACCATGTTCCCTAAACCATGTCTGTCTTAAATCCCCCCTCAGAGGCATGTCTGTCCACCCAGGGTCCACTGAAATTCCCTCTGAGGTTGGCTGCCTCCAAAGGAGTAGGAGGTTTTTGGGGGCTCTCAGCCCTTTACCAGTCTGTACCATGACCTCTTCTCTCTGAATTGCTCATGTTTTCCTGTCGCCTGTGATAGCTGTAAGGATTAATTCATAAAGTTTGCAAGGTGCTTGGCTGTCACCATGCCAGAGGCTAGAGACCTGTACAAGTGAGAAAATACGAGTGAGGACATCAGATCTGATTTATGACTAATTCAGGATTTTCAGTAAAGACTCTTTTACCTGTACCCTCTTTCAGCTATGACATTGCCCTGCTGCGTCTCAATTCTCCTGCCTATGACAATGGGTTCACTGAGCTGGGAGTGCTTCCACCTGAAGGAGGAATTTTGCCCAATAATTATCCCTGCTATATTACCAGATGGGGGTTGGTTAGTGGTACGTAAGGGGGAAGAAGGAGGAGTGTTGAAGTTCCCTCCTGGTTTCAGAGGGACCGCTGTGCAGGTAAGGCTGCCCGGGGCAGGGTGTGGGCTTCCTTCCTCAACTGCTGGAGCTCCTGGACCAAGATTTTAGCCTTTCTCTGCTAGTGCAGCAGCGCGGGCAGACTGCAGGAGGTGATGCTGCCGGGATCAACCATAAGATCTGCTCCCAGAACGACTGGTGCGGACCTCAAGCAAAAGTCACTATGATCTGTGCAGGTGGAGATGGCGTGAAGTCCGGATGCAGTGTAAGATCTGTTGTTACCAGAGGGTTTTCAAGCTCCTTTCTTTCTTTTTCCCTTCCTATCTGACTTTGCTGTTCCTTCAGTTGGGACCTGGTTTTGTCATTTCTCCACCTGCAATAGCTCTCCTGCAAATCCTGGCCCTTTCGCTGCTTTCTGCTGAATATCTTCTAAACCAAACTGCTGACGTTCCTTCATCGCCCCAGAGCAGCCAGCAGAGAGAAAACCTCCAAATCCTCAGGGTACATGTCTTCCCTCTGATTCTGGAGGGGAGATTTGCCCTTTCTTCAAGCAGCATGTCCCATTGACCAGATCCTGGGGAACGGGTTGAGGCTTTGGCAGTCCCCTCTGCCCTCATCCAAAGGATGAAGCTGCAGGGAAGTCCTACCACTCCTCCAGTGTTGCTGTCATGTTGCACCCTGGACCGTGGTTAGGTGGAAGAGGAAGGTGCTGAGAGGCCTCCTTTGTCGCAGGGGCTCCAGGCGGCATGGTGGTCCCCCGTGCTTTCACCCTGCTTGTCCCCCACCTCCTCCCCAGCTGCTCTGCTTACACGGAGGATGCTGAAAACTTTGGCTGTGTCCAAGTTGCTTCTGTGGGAAAGGAGGATGCTGTGAGGTGCCTTTTATTCCAGGGGCTCCAGATGGCCCCAGCATCCAGGCAAGGAGGTTTGGTGTGTGCCCGCAGGGGCTACATGTTTCCTTTGCCTGCATTCCCGTCACTACAGAGGTGGCTTCTGGTGAAAGCAACCATGCAGAGTCCTTAAAAAATAATGGACAAATATGTAACATATTTTATTATTTAAATATATGAACATAATATAGAAACATATAGAAATAAAACAGGTTACACAATTATACATAGTACAATTCTAGGTATAGTATAATTATAGGTCTATAGATATTTACTGTATTTTTTGGTGTGGTTTAATTATGACAGCACCCAGTTACAAACCAGGTTCTGAGACAAGCAAGAGCCTTTATCTTCTCATATATTTTAACTTGAGTTTCTTTCTTTTTCACTGCCTTAACTTCCCCAGACCCTTTGAATGTACTTGTTTGCAGAGAGCAATAGGACCAGTGTTTCCCTTCTACCTGGTTCCTTGTAGCTGGAGAGTGCGCTGATTTTTTAACAGAGATGCTGTGCAGGTGCATGTGATGCAACATGCCCTGGACCATTGGCTTATAGTCATTATAGCTGAAACGGTGCTGGTAAATTAGGGTTTCAGCTCTTCTTGGGGTGTGTATGTGTATATATGTGTGTGTACGTGCATGTAGACGAGATAATAAATAGTGGGTCTGATCTTTGTGGCACCTTGGGAGGCACTGAGCGGTCTCTGCTCCCACGTTGCTGGGGAGCAGTCAGGCCTTTGCAAAGAAAGCAGCACAAATTTTTATTTGGATGTTCAGTACAGTGATTAACTAACTGGTTCTCCTTAATCCTATCCAGTCATCCCTCAGCTGCTGGGATAATTTGTCTTAGTATGTTCCTCTCCTTCCTCTGATCCAGGGGCACTCTGGGGGCCCTCTCAGCTGCTACAAAGACCATCAATGGCAAGTCCACGGGATTGTCAGTTTTGGGCTAGTTCCTTACTGTAACACCTACAAGAAGCCGACAGTCTTCACACGTGTGTCAGCCTACGTGGACTGGATCTACAGCGTAAGTTGCTTAGTGCCTGCGAGGTAACCTGATGCATCTCCCATGAAGGCAAGGGATTGCCAGAGGAATTGGATCCGTTCATTTATTAAATGATTAGGAGTTGAACTGGGAGTTCTGGGGGGGTGCTAAGATCAGGATATTTGGTTCTACTTCTGGTGTAGTGAAACTATTGGAAGGAACTGTAAGAGATCAGGTTTGAGACCACCTGAGGAACCTGCATATGCACAAGTCTATGGGATCTGATGAGATGCATCCCAGAGTCCTGAGGGAATTGTCTGATGTAGTTGCCAA